CTATGTAGGGTACTTAGGAAGATATGATCTCTGAGGGATTATTGTGTGATAGGCTATTGTATGATGGTTCCTTATTACCTCCAAGCAGGGTAGAAACTGTTGGGTAAAGATCAAAAATTGGGTGACTATAGTTGAAGAATAATGGGATGGACTCCTTCAAGAGAGTGAAGCCCTTGTCCTGAAGGTAGCTAGAAGGGAAAAAGTCTTTAATTTAGCCAGAAGCAGCCCACCCCAAGGTGGCTCCCTCTTTATTCTGTGGTGACCGTGAGTGAGTACAAGGTGCCTGTATTAGTTCCATATCTAATGAAAATGGGTTTCCTTTTCACCATCTCCTTTACCCCCTGCCCTTTCTCCCTTCCTTCCTTCTGTTCCCACTTCCCAGGATACTAACATGTAGGAGAAAATGGAATCGTTGTTCCTAACTAGGAAACCTGCACAAATGTATTTCTCTGCTAATTTGTCTGTACCTGTACACTCATAATTTTTAGTGTAGAACATATTTTTAGAAGAAATGAGATTGTTTTGTTTTTTTGTGTCTTCAATTTATTTAGTAATTTCTTGTGTATATCACTTACTCCCAAGTTCCTAGCCCCTCAGGAAGAACTGTTATACTGTCCACTTAGTTTCTTTTCACTTACCCTTGATCCCTATCCCTGGCCAGCTGCTCCTGTTGTGGCTCACAGAATAGATGAAGGAAGTGCATTAGCTCTCATCCTCCCAAACCCCTCAGCTTGCATGGCAGCCAGCAAAATACTGTATGCTGTGGGCCTCTAAAACTCAGCCACTTATGCTGACCCAGCTGTTTTGGTGAAGTGGGAAGTGCCTTTGTAAGTATATTGTTTTCAAGATGATTTTATCAATCAGTCATCTTTTCCCTCAATACAGGGAAAGAATAGTAAGAAGAGCCACTGCTTCCCTCCCATGAACAGAGACCACCGCCGGATCATCCACGACCTGGCCCAAGTGTATGGCCTGGAGAGCGTGAGCTATGACAGTGAACCAAAGCGCAATGTTGTCGTCACTGCAATCAGGTGGGTTGATCTTGCCATCACAGGAGGAACTGCTTGTTATGGCAGGTTGGACCTCGGAAACAAGGTCTATCAATATTTGCTTGCCTTACTTTCTCTTCTAGAAGAATAGAAAATCTGCTTCTGGGCTAGCCATTCTGACATGATCAAAAGGTCTGAACCTAGGGCTCCTGGGTGGTTCAGTCAGTTAAGCGTCTGCCTTCGGCTAGGATCATGATCCCAGTATGCTGGGATCAAGCCCCACAGCACGTTCCTTGCTCAGCAGGGACTACTTCTCCCTCTCCCTCTGCCTGCTGCTTCCCCTCCTTGTGTTCTTTCCCTCTCTGTCAAATAAATAAAATGTTTAAAAAAATAAATGATAGTGATCTGAACCAGAGAGCAAAAAAGCCCATGCCTCAGTCTATAGGACAGACATGCCTAAAGATATCCAAGGTTCTTGTCTGCCCCGATTCATGAGTGACACTGAAGGTAGTAGCATTTCCTCAGGCACAGGGAATAGACTCTCAGTGCCTGCCCATCACATCAGTCTGTCCCTTTTTTCCTTGTCATCCTGGCAGGATGGAAACCAAAAAATGCTGGACTCTGATTCAAGGTATCCCCTGTAAAAACAGTGTTTGCATGAGAGGAAACTGAGGCTGTAGTGTGAGCCAGGAAGTGGCAAGGAGGATCTAGAATCACTGTCAGAATCTGACAGGGTCGGTAGGTCCTTACCAATAAAGAAAACTAAAGTATAGGAGGGAGAGGAAGCAGGTAACAGGCCCAGACAGATGTGGGTGGAAGAGACGAGGGTTAAATGAAGGTGACGATGCCTGAGAAGGGACAGGTCACATTGGAGTATTCAACAGCAGCACAGTGAAAGTCATGACTGAATTTCCAGCAGTCTGCCTGTCTCCACAAACAATTCTCACTTTTCAGTACTTTGTTTTCTGACTTATCAGGGGAAAGTCCATTTGTCCTCCTACCACGCTGATTGGTGTCCTTGAAAGGGAAATGCAGTCACGGCCTCCACCACCAATTCCTCATCACAGACATCAGACAGACAAGTAAGGATCCTTCAACTACTTTCCAAAGGCCCTATCTATTCAGAGAAGCCAGCAACGGCTGAACAGTCCAGGACTCCACCAGCCATTGGTGACTTCTCAGGCCTAGCCTTGGGGTGCTTTGTTCAAATAAATAAGGTTTGACTGGGATGTCAGACATTTGTTCATACCAGAGGGGTCCTAAGTTTAATGTTTATAATGCCCACTTCCCCTCAGGGGAAGAGTCATTGGAAATAACTTCCATGTTGTAGGTGATGACATTGGGAAGTGGATTCAATCTGTCACACCAGAGGACTTAGGAACATCACATGGTTCACAACAGTTATTCTGGAGGTGAAAGTGGGATAGTGGGTCAGGGTTGCAATGAAGGTAGAGATTTTTGTGTTTTGCCTTGTCTACTTCTCTATGGTTTGAATAATTTTTACAACAAAAACATATATTCATGATTTAAAGAGAAAAGAAAACCACATTGGCAAGCAGCAAGTCTCAGACAGGAGCAAGAAAGGAACACCATCCCTTGCTCTCTTTTTGAGGCAGCATTGCTGAAAGTTGCTCTGAAACCCAGCAGCATCCCTAATGCTGTTCTGGCCTTCATCACAGAAGCCCTACCAGGACCTCTTATACAAAACCTCTAGGAGGGTGGGAAAGAGCTGCTTACAGGGTTACCAAGATGGCTATAGCAATCAGTGTTCTGTAGGACCAGCCAGGACAGCTAGGTGTTGACTATTGAGCATAACCTTGGCAAGGATTAGTGTAGTTGCTCAGGACCAGCCCTGCGCTTCGCTCCTGGAGAGCAGGTGACCTGCATTCTAGTCAGCCTAGCTACATATCCACATGGGCAGTGGTTTGGGAAACGTAAAGGTATTCCACGCATTATTCCGTAGCCATGCCCAATACTATCTTGATATAACCATATGGGATCTTTGACCTGTTTAAGCCACGCTCTTTTCTTTCCCCCTTCGTTTGCTTTATTTTTGTATAAAACCTTATTGTGGAAAACTTTTAAAGTAGAGACAGTAGTGTTAATATAGTGAACCCCTATGTGCACATCACCAAATTTCAGCAGTTCGAAGCCCATGTGGGCCCACTGTCTTATCAAAGCTTTTTTGCAAATGGCAAATCAGCTGATCCTTAACTTTCTGAAGACCTCAGACTATTTCCCCCCAACAAGAAAAGATTGATCATTCTTTGTTTGCTTTTCAGGAGTCCTGTGAGCAGTAATTTACAGAAAATAGCCAAGGAACCAGTAATTGACTACTTTGATGTCCAGGACTGAGAAGATCAAGATGCACTTAGATAAAAGAATGATTAGGTGTGATGGGACTCGTTTGCCAGCAGATAAATCATGCTTGTTCCTAACTGTCTGGTGGACTCACACACAACCTCACTTACTATCTTGTACTGATACATCCAAAGCATGAGTGTATCAGAAATCCTTCATCCACTATTCCGTCTGTATAAAGTGTTTCAGTATGGCCAGATCTCTAATTAGATGGTCACTAGTGATTCAGTCATGTATTTGCAGAGGCTCTGCCATCACTGCGATTGCTTAGAGGGCTGGGGGAACATTGGGTTTGATTTGGACAAAGCAGAATTTTAGCCTGAAAGTGGCACTTAGTCATAGCCTCAGTTGTCCCAGTTACCCATCCTCCTCTTAAAAATGCCTGCAACATCAGCTGCACCTCCTTTTTGAATTAATCCAAACTGATCACAATCTTTGGAAAGACACAAGTGAACTTCTCAGTCCAAAATACCAAACGTTGAATTGGTATACCATATCTGGAATCACATGTGTTGTGTTCAACTTAGCTATCTTTTCTGAATCTTTTGCCAAAAACTCTCATAGGTCTGTCTGGCTAAACTTTTCTTAGGAGTTCTTAATGCCATCAGTTCTCGACCTAGGAAAGGAGGGAGAGTGCTTTACAGAATTCCATTTTCTAGAGTCTTGGGGCATGGCTCATGTGACCTCACGGAGCCTGGCTGGTGACAGTTTAACTATAAAAACCATGGTAGTAGAATACCATAGAGCAGGTTCCTCCTCCTACCAGGTTTGCACTATGGCCTCTGTATTAACTAATGTAGCCCTAACTCTCCCTCTGATTGAGAAAAATCTCAGGTGGAATTTACCTTTCCTGTGTTGCTTTCTCTCAGGCCTGCAGCATCTGTATTAGCTCTCCTTGTCTCTGAGCTCTGGACTTCTGTTTAAGTATTCACAAAAGTATGTGGACAGTGCAGGGCTTATTCCAGCACCCTCTGGAGGCATTCTTGAGTCTCTGTTAAGGCAGGCACATTGACTGTTAACATTAGTTTGGCCCTCTCTGCCTTGACACTCCTCCAGCTTGGAGGCTGGACTTCCAGTAACTTCTTTGTCCAGAGCAAGCCCAAGCCCCAGAGCAACACAAGATTTCAGAAGTGATGTCACAAAACCGCCATTTTTCAGAGAAAGAGTAGGGTCACCCTTTGGTCCTAGCCCAGGCAATCTACCTCGAGAGGCAGCAGGTACAGGAAAGAGCAAGAAGAAGCAACTGGAGGGAGGAGACAAAACTACAAAACTGCCTCTATCTGGACCCATTTAGTACAGGGTCAGTGGCCCCAAACACAACAGGAAGCCCACGAGCATGTTAGAAGCAGTGGTTCAGTGGATGAACTGCCCATGGAGTACATCTCAGAATTCAGGAGGCAGGAGACCTGATTTTAGATGCCAGTTCTGCCACATAACTTGCCACTTGGTCAAATGGAGAAATCACCTGCCTTACCAGGGTTGTGGTAAACCCTTAAACAAGGTATCTTAAACAAGATACAGGGAGGTACCTGATCTATTGTGGGTGCTGTTACATACTTGAGGGGCACCTGACTGGCTCAGTTAGTAGAGCATCTGACTTGATCTCAGGATCATGAGTTCAAGCCCCATGTTGGGTATAGAGTTTACTTAAAAAAAAAAAAAAAAAAGAGGCACCTGGGTAGCTCAGTCAGTTAAGCATCTGACTCTTGATTTTGGCTCAGGTCCTGATCTCAGTGTTGGGAGATCAAGCCCCTCATTGGGCTCCACATTGGGCATGAAGACTGCTTAAGATTTTTTTCTTCTGCCCCTCGCCCCACTTCTCCCACTCCCCCTTGCCCTCTCTCTCTCTTAAGAAAAAAAAAAAGATACTTGGTATCTGGAAAACATATAAGCGTCTTCATATTAGCCCAGTAAAGTTATAGAATGTAAACAGATTTCTTCTGGTGAATGCTTATGTGCCTACCCCATGCAGCCTTGTGCTAAGGCTGTAGTTGTTCTTTCAGTTAGTAATCCAGCAGAGAACACATACTTGAATGAATATTTTTTTTTTTTTTTTTTTTTTTTTTTTTTAGATTTTATTTCTTTGAGAGAGAACACATGCAGGGGGAATAGCAGAAGGAGAGAGAGCAGCAAGCTCCCTGCTGAGCAGGGAACGGATGAGGGCCTCCATCCCAGGATTCTTGGATGGTGACCTAAGCCAAAAGCAGACACTTAACTGAGCCACCCAGGTGCCCCACCTGAGCAAATATTTATAATGAAATTGGTTGATCTGGCACAAATAGGTCATTAGTCTGTCATTAAAAACTAAGTAGAACTATAAGAGGAGTTTCCTGTGGTATTGTAGGAATGGGTTAATTTTCATGGTTGAGAGAAGGGAAACAGGAAGAAACATTTGGGCTGAGTCCTAAGATGGTAGACTGCCATTACGGGAAGGAGAGAGTCTTGCCAAGAAAAGGTAAACCATATAAGACAAGCCCAGGAATATGGTTTGTGGTGGGGTTGAGGAAAGATTAGTTGTCCAGAATGGGCAGACAAGTAGAAGAACAGGTGGTGAGGCTGAGAGGTGGAAAAGAAGAGGTCAGCTGTGGAGAGCCATAGGGAGCCACTGGAGGGTCCTAAGCAAAGTATGGCATGGTTGGGGTTTTGATGCAGAGTGGGAATTACCAGTAAATGTTTTCTGTAAAATCCAGATTGGAAATATTTTAAGGCTTTGTGAATCTTAGTTTCTGTTGCAGCTACCCAATTCTGCCATTATGATGTCAAAGTGGCCGCAGATAATACATAAGCAAATGAGCATGACTCTGTCCTAGGATCACCTTATTTATAGACCTTGAAATCAAAATCTAACACAGTTTACATGTCACAAAATATCGTCATTTTTTTCCAGCTATTTAAAAATGTAAAAACCATTCTTAGCTCATGGGTTGTACAAAAATCAGGCAGCAGGCTGGATTTGGTTAAGGACCTTAGTTTGCCCACCCTGTTCTAGAGCAGTGTCTCAGGCAGAGTGTGAAGAAGGGATTGGAAGATTAACTTTGAGGCAAGCAGCCCAGCCAAGAGCTGTAGGAATGATTGAAGTGAGAAGATAAGGATGATGGAGATTGGTGCTGCAAAGGGAAGAGATTTCGTGAGATCGGATAGGCTACTCAGCCTCAGCAGGGAGCTAACACTCTTGGATCACTGAAGGGACCCCAGAGCCCCTCAGCAAGGGGAAACTGCTTCTCGTGGGATTGGTGGATCCTCCACTGAGCAGTGGCCTTGGGCAAGACTACATGAGCATGGACTAAAAAGAGCCATTTGTGGAGGGATCCGATAGGCACCAAGACCTCACACTATTGCTTACTGAGAAATCAGGTGACAGCACCCCTTCCCCTTCCAGCCCTACTATCCTTCACCAGGAGATTCTTTATGGGACCAGAGCTTTACAGGGACCCAAGTTCTTATCTCTGGAATTCCCTCTGGCTTGTTTGAGAGAGCTGCCTGCCAGTCTGCAGTGCAGTGGGAGGTTGTATTCAGGCTTGGAGATGAAAGCAAGCCCTCCTGATTGCAGAGTCTGTGAGGTAGCTCTGGATCCTGTCCTGGACAGGCCAGAGAACAGACCATGGAGGGGAAGAAAGAATGCCAGTCTCGTAGGAGAGGTTCAAAGTTTCAAACAGTGGGTCCTGTGATTTAGTTTTGGGGGTGGGGCTCCTCACATAGTGTCAGCCTTCTTGCTTCATGCCTGAAAGCCTGGAGACCTTACTTTCTGAGAACCTGCCAGTGTGACTTTTAAAATGGGAAGGAATACCTGGTCACCTTCACAGACCTGCCTTCCTCATCAGTCCTCCCATATGCCCTCCCATACCTGTTGGGGAGTTTCTTCCTCTTGAGCTCCCTATGTGGCCTCAGCACAAATGTCCCATACCATCTCTTCTGGCCTTTTAGAGCTCACAAATCCCCAGGGAAAGCTCTAAAACTAGCCTGACCCCTTAGTCTACAAAGGCCTAGCCCAGAAGGGACAAGGCCCCATGGAATCACACTCAGTGTAAGTCAGGCAAAGGCTGTAATCTAGGTTTTGGGTTTCCCAGCCTAGAACTGCCTCTAGGCCAGGAGGGGTCTGAGTCCTCAAGAAAAGGGCTACTGTCTTCTCCAAACAGAATTCCCCTGGAGTCCTTCTCAGTGGCCCAGGCTGCTCTCAGCCCCAGGCTTTATGTGGTCACTCTTCATAAGGCATAGCCTCCTGGGAGACCTGGCTGCATATAACTCAGCTAAACTGCTAGGATGCCTGATTGGCTGCTTCAACTCAGTCTGAACCCTGGGCAGTTCGCTTCCAGTGTCTAGGCATTGATCTCCCCATCTATCACGTAAGTGTCTGTCCCAAGCCATTGGAAGGGTAGTGAGGGGCAGCCCGGATGGCTCAGCGGTTTAGCGCCACCTTCAGCCCAGGGCATGATCCTGGAGACCTGGGATCAAGTCCCACGTCAGGCTTCCTGCATGGAGCCTGCTTCTCCCTCTGCCTGTCTCTATCTCTCTCTGTCTCTCTGTCTCTCTCTCTCTCTCTCGAATAAATAAATAAAAATATAAAAAGGGGCGGAAGGGTAGTAGGTAGACCGGATCTAAGAGATGGGGAGATTCTCCCAGTGTAAAGTGGCATCTTAGCACAATCAAGCCTCGAGCTCATCCCACGACTGTCTGACAGCATAGCTCACTTGGGGGAAGGAACAAAGCAGTTGCAAAGCTGCTCTGGCAAGGGCTGGGGCCTTTAGTCAACTCCCTTTCAGTCACCCCAGGTTGGATGCAAGGGGGAGAGAGTCCAAGGTACTCATGCACCCACACTTCACCAAGAATCTCCTCTGATAGTAGATAACAGCTTTGGACCACTTAATATACATCAAGCTCTGTGCTCCTCTCATTCCTCAAAGACCCTTGAAGTATGTATGTATATGTATATACATACACATTAAGATACATTGATTTTAGGGAGTGTGAGAGTGAGGGGAGAGGGAGAGAGAATATCAAGCCAACTCTCCACTGAGCGCAGAGGCCAATGCAAAGCTTGATCCCACGACCGAGATCATTACCTAAGCCAAAACTAAGAGTCGGACGCTCAACTGATTGACTCACTCAGATGCCCCTGAAGTGTACATTCTTACTATCTCCATTTTAGCAGTGGGGAAACTAAAGGTTGAAGATTTGCCCTACCTAGATCACTCAGTGAATAATTAAGGGGATCTGAAATTCCGTAAGGTCCGGCTCCAAAACCTATGTCTTCCACTACACAGAACAAGGAAAGCTCACACAGAGTGCCTTGGAGTCCCTGGGGCTGTATTATCTGGCAGGTCAGGATAGATGGGATGGAAGTTTATACTGTGTCCCAATGTAGAGTACACCAGCAACCCCCAGAAGATGGGACTTTTTTCCTAGAATGGCCGCTGGGGGGCAGTATGTATCCCCAAACCAGGAGCCTGGGGATGGGGTGAGGTGGTGCTTCACTTTGCCTCAAAAAAAGCTCTTTAAAGTTTTTAGTAGAGTTTATAACCAATATGTTTAAAAATTATCACCTTTCCATTTGTTTTTTTAATACTGTTTTGTTTGTTGCTATAAACAGTGTAAGCACAGAAGGGAAAACAAAAGTCATGCAGATACCTGAAGGAAGAACATTCCAGGCAGAGGGAATAGCCATTGCAAAGGCTCAGTGGTGGAAACAAGAACAGTAAAGCCATCCGGCTATAGGGAGAGAGAAGTAGGGACCTGGAGCCCATTGGAAGGCTTAGGGAAGAGGGATGAAATGATTTGGCTTATTTTTTTAAAGGAACACTAACTGCTGTATTGAGACTATATGGGTGAGTCAGAGCAAAAAGGCTGGAAGATGATCAGAAGACCACTTCTGTAATCCAAGAGAGGTGACTGGCTCAAACCTGGGTGATGGTGGTGGGGTAATGAGAAGTGGTTGGTTTCTAGATAATTTTGCAGGTAACACCTATACGATTTGCTAACAGCTGGGATGTGGATAGAGTATGAGACAGAATGGAGTCAGGGATGACTTCAAAGATTTTGGCCTGAGCAATGAGAAGAATGAATTTGCCATTTACTGAGATAGGAAAGAGTGTGGGAGGAGCAGGCTTGGGGATGAAAATCTGTCCAGTGGGTGGTTTTATATGGGAATCTAAAGTCTGGAAACAGGATTGGACAGGAGATCTAATTTGGGGAGCTGTTGGCATATAATGGTATTTGTATGTTGGAAAGGAGGGTGAAAGAGAAGAGGTCCAAGGACTGTGCCCTGGGCATTCTCCATCATCTAGAGGCCAGGGATCTGAGGACAGGGCAGGAGTCAGACATTTCCAGAGCAAGAGTTGAGGGTTGAAGCTGGAATACTCAGTGCTACAGGGAAGTCCTGTGTGGTAGGGGTCTGGAGTTTTCCTCCTGGTTGCCTAAGAGAGTCTTGGCTTCTCTTGCTTGCCCTGACCCATCTGAACCTTCTGAGAGAAGGGACCAGTCCCATGGTACAAGTCAGGGCCTCAGAGTATTTGGGATCCTGGGCCTTTGCTGCTTTCTCCCCTTTAGCCATCTTGTAAACATAGGTGTTCCCAGGACTCCATCATCTCTCCGTGGGCCACCTCATCTATCTGCAAGCCTTTGCATGCCACTCTGAGCTCGATCTCTAGCCCAGCCTGTGTCTATCCCCAGATGCCCCACAGGCACTTCCAGGTCAGCATGTTCAACCTCTAAACTGTTTCCTTGTATATACACCACCACCTTCCAGTCTCCCCTGCCCCAGCACTGAGTCCTTAGGAGTTCATCTTTTCCCTGATGTCCTTGACCTGGGGCCAGAAGCCAGAATAGAAGTGGAGGATCTGGTGCTGGGGGGAGGACGGGAACACGTTCTTGCTGGTGCTGGCTGGACTGTTGTCAGCCAGGACCACCCCCATCTGAGGAATCGGTCAGTGTGGCTTTGGGTCCCTGGAAGACTCAAAGGCTCAGTCCTAGATTTTTTACCTCATCTGTGTGCCTGGGTGTACCTGGCTCGTAGTTGTGTGTCTTCTCTCTGCCCCTGACCCAGCCTCTGAACCTCCAGCTGCCCTCATCCAGACCCCCCACAGAGCCCAGAGCATAGAGCATCCCCTCCAGCACCCACCCATCCCCTTGACTCTGAGCACAGACATAAGCGAAGACCATGGCCTCTGACAAACTCTTCCTCACCTTGCTTCATCATAGCAAATGCCAATGGCAAAACTGAAACCTGAAATACCTCATCCCTCTGAGCCTCACTATCCCCATTTTACAGATGAAGAAACTGAGGACCAGAGAGGTTCGATAACATGCCAAAGCTCAGTGGAGGGCACTTAGGTGTTTGGGGTTATTTGTTAATTGGGGGGGGTCTTTGTTTTTTTAGTGTTTCATTATTTTAACGTATCTGTATATAATATATGCATGTTCATAGAGTATATTGCACAATTTAGAGACAAAACAAAAAAACTAGCCAAAACCAAATTGGTAAGGACTAGAATTCCTACTGTTTACCCCTTACCAAGCCAATCTTCCCAGGCCTCAGCATTATTGGATATAAGATGGGCATGAGGATATGAAGACCACGAAAGGGTGTAAAGTGGTAACAGCAAATACACTGCCCACATGCCAGGCATAGCTCATTTTCTCATCCCAGCAGCCTTGTGAAGTGGGAGCTATTATTATCCTCTTACCTAAAGTTATCCAGCTAGTGAGTGCTAGAGCCAGCATTTGCATCCAGCCTGGCTGCCCTCTTTGTGCTCTTAGGTGCCACAGTGTGGACGCTGTGGCACCCAGGAGAGCTGGGTCATACCTCTTTCCCACTTTAGGTTCGGCAGAGGTCAGTGCATGGCCACAGCCAGGCTGTACAGCTGAGCAACCATAGCTGCCTCCTACTGAGGGCATCAGCACCCCAGCCTGGCACAAGATGGCTGCTTCCAACTTTTTCTGGGCTACAGAACCTCATCCTGAGGGAAGAGACAGACTAGCCAGACCAGAGTGCTGCCTGCGAGTGCCTTCCCTTGGAGGCTCTGAGTGGGAGTGGGAGAGCAGGCAAGGACAGGGAGTGAGGGGCTCTCCCAAAGCCAGGACCACCAGGCTGAGGAGCTAGCCTTTATCTGGCAAGCCCTGCAGTGGCCTGGCCTGAGGCTGGGGATGTTCCTGCCGTACCCTGTCCCCATTTCAACCACAGCCTCAAGGTGGAGGGGGGGAGAGAAGTGGGGTCATGACATGAGACTTCAAAGTACTGGAAGAAGTCACATCTGGGGTCTACTCTAGACACCAACGCATCCAAGCCTCAATGCACAGATAGGGAAACTGAGACCCAGAGAGGGGAGGGGTTCTATCTAGGTCACACAGCCAGTCTGAGGCCAGGGAGCAAAGACAGGACTTTCATGACTCCTATCCTAACCTGGCTCCCAGAGCTAAATGATGTGTCTCCTGGATCCAGCCAGGGAGTGGTTATAGGAGAGACTGTGTGTGTGAGAGAGAGAGAGAGACACACACACACAGACACACAGCAGAGCTAAGAGCCAGGGACCCACAAGGCACCATGACACCCACCCACCCTATTCTACTTCATTCCCTTCTGCCTGCCTGCAGTGAGACCTGCCCCTCTCTTCCAGAGACCTCCCTTACCTCTGCCCCAGGCCTTGGTCTTACCTCTCCTCTGGGCCTGGCCTCAGTTTTAACCTACTTGTCTGACCTTACCTTCTTCCACTCTTCCCTCCATTTTTCCATTCCAGCAGCAGTCCTCCATGCTCCCACCTGAGGGCCCTTCAGTGGCGTTCCCTCAGCCTGGCATGCTCCTCTCACAGGTGTCCACACAGTTCACTCCCTCTCCCCCTCAGATCTGTACTCAAAGTCAGCTTCTCAGTGAAGTCTTTGGTCTTTAGAGCCCCACACACTTCCTGTCCCTTTCTCCTGCTTTTCCTCCTTAGTATGTATCACTAACACACTATGTTTTGCACAGAATGTCAGCTCTATGAGAACAAGAACTCCAGTTTCTTTTTTGTGCCTATATCCTCTGCACCAAAATGGTGTCTGGCATATTGTAGAATTTCAACCAACTTCTGCCAAGAAAATGAAAGGGGTCTGTGCACAGAAACACTGTGTGACCATGGTCAGGGCTCATCTGAGCCTAACCCTGGAATCAAAAACTGCAGGGTATTATGGGCAATGAGCCTAATGCATGTCTGTGGCAAAGCAGTAGACAGCAAGCAGGTTCTGGATAGACCCACTGACTGCCCTACCTCCAAGGCCATCTCCTAGGGACATGGGGATGACAGAAGTCTAAAGAGGTCTGTTGAATGTGACTGTACGGCAAGGTAAGTACCTGCTCCCCTACTGATGGGCATACTGATGGGCATTTGGCTTTGTTTCCAGGCCCCGTGATCACCCACCTTGTGCCCCTCCTCATTCAGGTACCCACTCCCCACCTCCCAGCTATGCTCCCAGGACATTGTCCACTGACCCTCCTTTGATATCCACATAGCCATGACTTCCCCAATCTCTATCTTCAACTCTTCTGAACTCCAGACCATATAAAAGACATAATAGTTTATTGTGCACTTACTCTGTGCCAAGCACTATTCTCAGCGTTGTACGTGTTTTGTTTTATTTCATTGAATATCCACAGCGACACAAATGGTAGGTGGTATTAGATCCATTTTACAAATGATTTAAAGGAAGCCCAGAGAGGCTAAGTAACTTGCTCAAGATACACACTTCTTGCCCCTAAGTCCCATAGGCAACTCAAACTCAACATATCCATGATATAACTTATCTTCCTCTCCAAACCAGTTTGTCTGCCATGCATATTCTCAGGGGGCATATCTCCAATGCCCCAGGCCCAAGCCAAAAACTGAAATCAGCCTGACCCCTGCCAGTCCTTACCCACTTCTCCCAATTTAAGCCTAAGCCATATAGGCTTTACCTCCTCGGTATCTAGTGAATCCTCTTTCCCCCACCTGCTGCTCCTCCTGGACTATTGCCTCTCCCCATACTCCACCACAGGCTCCAATCTTCCCCTTTCCCAGCAGCTTGCACACTGCAGCTCAGGGAAGCTTGCTAAATCTCATGTCACCATGTTCCCATCTCCAGAAGAAAGCCCAGCCTCCTTGCCCCGGTCTCCTCAATTGCAAAAAGCAAACAACCCCAGAACAGACAACCTTATCCTCTATTCGCTCTGCCTCCACCTCTGGAAAGCCATCCCTGACCTCTGCTCCACTGCTGGGCTAGGATCCCCCTCTGAACTCCACAGCCCCCTCTCTGCCACTTAGCTCCTTCCGCATGATTACCTATCCTCATTAGACTGTGCTCCTTGAAGGCAGAGACTCAGCCTCACCCTCTTCAACATCTGCAGTGCCCAGGCAGGGCCTGCACACAGGAGGTACTCAATAATTGCTGAAAGGCTGAATGCACAAACAATGACAGGAACCATGGGTGATGCTGCCTCTGAGTCCCACAAAGCAGGATAATTCCTGCTCCATTCCGGAGTGAGTGAAGATGCTGGCTGTCCCACCTCCAGCAACCTCTGTGCCTGTCCATCTGAATCCCATGAAGCCATTTCCTATCTCTGTACCTTTTGAAAGAACTTCCTTCTTTGCATCTTCCTTCTGACTCTGGATTTCCTTGGTGGAATCAAACCCCTTACCTACTTTCAGTCTACATTAGGCATTTTCAAGGCAAGGGGTGATTTTGCCTCCAGGGGTGAGAACATGGATTTTTGGAAGAAGATGAAAAAATCTTACTCTTTTTTGTATAATGTATTTTGTATAAAATAAACAGATATAAGTATACCTATGGGATTAAAATATGTGATTAAGAAAGAAAATGGTGACTGGGTGACGGGCCCTGAGGGGGGCACTTGATGGGATGAGCACTGGGTGTTTTTCTATATGTTGGCAAATTGAACACCAATAAATAAATAAATAAATAAATAAATAAATAAATAAATAAATAAATAAAAATGTCTAAAAGGCTTCTGAGGGGACTAATAATGAAAAAAAAAAGTTGAGAAACTCTGATCTATATGCTTGGGCCTTGTTTTATCTGGTCCAAGGACTAGCTAGAACTGAAGGAGAGTCTAGAGTCCTATCCTAGGGCTGCTCACCCCCAGCTAGCTGTTTTCCTTTCCCCCAAAACCATCCCTTCCCTACGCTAGGCCTGAAAAATCCACCATTTTGTGTCTGGCATCCTTTAATCTCCTGTTCCTACTGAGGCCGTAGGTTGTCTTCCCCCATTCTCCCCCAGGGTCGCCCCAGCTCCCAAGGCAGGAAGGAGTTAGAGACCTATCAGCTCTGTGCTCCAGCCCTGGACTACTGCATAACCATGGAGTTCCTGGAAAAATCCAGGAGGGAAGCCCAACCACAGGAGGCACCCAGGAAGTGAGGGTGCCACTGTGTTGGACAAGGCTTTCTTTATTGGAGTGGGGGGATAGGGTCACAAATAATCTTACTTAGAAGTAAGCACTTAGAAGTGCTGTAGGTGGATGGGGTCACTTAAGGGTGGGACAGTCTGGGCTAAGGGTCTGTTGGCGGGAGACACAGAGACAGGGGTGAGGGAAGAGGTCATGGATGGGATTTGCATGGTCTTGGGCAGCACGGGTATTCTGCGGTCTTCATACACCATGGAGTTCTCCAATATCTGGGGCCTCTGTGTGATGCTGGAGCCAATGAAGACCAAGTAGATGATGCCACCTAAGTAGGCACCTAGGAGCGGTGCCACCACTGGCACCCACCACCAATCCCGGACCCTGCAGGCAAGAGGCAGAGGCCTGCTGAGGGGGCTGATGCCCAGCACAGCACCCACATCCAGTCAGGCTGAGACAGAGAGTAGGGCCTGAGTCTAGAGGAGTGACCCCCATTCTAGCCTACGAGTTGCCCCTGAGCCTGCCCTGGTCAGTTTCAGTCTGATTCAGGGCCAGGGCTGATCTGTGGCAGGACTGACATTCAGTCCAAGAGCAGCATCTGCGTCGGTGCTGATCAAGGGGAAAGAGGGGACACACACCTGTCTCCCCAGACCACCTGGGAGTTTGGCAGGACTCTAGACTGTGCTGCTTCTCACATCACCCTCCCCCACTCTGCATGCAGGGGACCCAGAGAAAACTTGCAGGAATGGGCTGGGCAGGGCAGTACCTGAAGACCTGTATACCCCAGCCAGCAATGTAAGTGAAGAAGCGGGGAGGCAGGTCCCGGGATGGGTTCATGGCGTAGCCTGTGTTCATGCCCAAGGACACTCCAATGACAATAATGAGGATGCCAATCACCAGGGCCTGTGTCCCTTGTAGTGCTGGGTTGTTCTCCTTGTCCGTGATGGCGAAGAGACATAGCTGCAGTATCCCTGTCACTATCACCTGGGGAGCAGACACCGTGGCAGCCACCTGGGGCCCCTAGCCAAACCACAGCTTCAGCAGTGCCCCCAGCCCCAATCCACTGGCAGATACCTCATCCAGAGTTCTTGTCCCTTCTATTGTGAGAACTGCCTGCTAGATGGGGAGGGTTTAAGGAGGGGAACCCGCACTGGACCACTGACCTCATCCAGGAAGCCCATCCACAACGTCAAGCGGTCAGGAAGGTAGGTGGCAAAAATGTTAGCGGTGGCTGTGGGACCAGTCACTGCCAGACGTCCGCCCGAAAATTCGATAATGGCTGCTGTGGAGACACAGACTGAGGGTGAATCTGCCACCAGCTTAACCCCACTGGAGCCCCAGGATTAAGGCTGTAGGATCCAGAGGTGGGGAGCACCTGTAAGGCTCTCTCCCAAATGTTTTCACAGACCAGGATACTAGGGTTGGATCTTCCCATTTTTCAGAGGAGGAGGCTGAGGCCAGAGATGGACAACCCAGGGCAGGACACTTACAGTAGAAGAGGAGGTAGATGGTGGCAGCAGCCAGGAAGGAACCCAGAAACTGACCCAGGATGTAAACAGGAAACTTCTTCCAGGACATGCGGCCTAGTGCACAGTTGGTGAAGGTCACGGCTGCATTCATGTGGGCCCCTGAGGGGGCAGAAGTGTCGGAGGTGTGAGAGCAGAGACAAACAATAATATAACAAATAATATGAAAGCAACAATAACAATAATAATAATAATAACAGTATTTATGGAGTAGATTCATTTAATCCTCATAAAGACCCACAAGACAGAGACCACCATCTCCAATTCACCATTAAGGAAAGTAAGAGACAGAGAAATTAAATAACTTGCCTACGTTGGCCCAGGTAGTAAAAATGGGGGATCCAGGGGAGCTTATGAAGATTCTGGGCAGAGAGGGTCAAAAGAAAGGGGTTCAGGGTGTTCTCCCTCCCCTCAGGCCAGTAAGGATGGTTTCAAGTGGACTTGGAGAAGGGGCTGGCTGGAGGTAAGCAGGAAGAGCCTGGAGGGGACACCCGGCCCTGCTGATCAGATGGGGCGCGGGCTCACTCACCAGAGATGTTCCCTGCCACGTGCACTCCCATGGTGACTCCAAAGCCAAAACCCAAGTTGACACCGAGGTAGCTCCCAAATCTATTTCCTAGAACCATATGTGCCACAGAGCCAAGGCCAAACACCTGCAAGGGAAGGCCTCTGAGAGGACTACCTGCACAGAAGCCCCAACCTCACAGGAGGCCTCAAGCTCAGTTTGGGCTCCTCATCCCCATGCCCCAGGCCACCATACATTGTCCTTGGAGACCCTCTGCCATGCCCTCCTTGGGGGCTATACAAGTTGCTGGGAGAGAAGCAGCACCCACACCCCTAGACCCCAAGCCCACCCAAAGTTCAGGGTAGGAGGCAGGGCTTCAAGGAGGGCATGGCTGGTGTGGATTGAACCCCTCAGAGTATCTCACATTTCAACCTAACCTGCAGGAAATTTCTTCAAGGGATTGCCAAACTTCTGGCCTGGACTCTGCCAGAACCCCGCTCCCTATACACACAGTGGCCCTGGGAGCCCAGTGTGGTTCTACTCCTCTTGCCTTCAGCAACATTTCCATTGACCTCAGCTGTCATTTCTGAATTTCTTGTTCTTGCCCATTCGTAGCTGCTGGATCACCTCAGAAGATACCCCCACCCCCGCCCCCGGACCCTCTTCACAGGGAAATTAGAGGCCTGAAGCTAGGCCCTCACTCAGCCTCCCACAGCTCCCACCGGAATCTATATCCACCTTCCCCTTCAGCTCTGGTTCTGGTGCCCAGGCTCTCCATCCCTCTCCAGTCACCTCCCTCTTGCCTGTATCTTCCACCCTCCCCTTGACTGCTCCCACAGACTCAGGTGTCTTCCTTCTTGCCTGAGCCCAGCCTCTCTGTCTAGCTGTGGACTCCTGGACACCCCTCCCTGTGTGGAACTAGCTCTAAGAAAGAATACACTGGCTGGCTCCTTGATCCCTTCCCTTTCTCTCCCTCTACAATCTGGCTCTTGCTTCCACATATCATGGACATCAAAGCTCTCTCTGAGGGCTCCAGCCTCCTGATTTCCTAATGGTCCCTTCAGACTTGTCTTACTTTGCTAACTTAGACCTTTTTAACCACTCTGTGCTTCTGGAAGATCCCTTCTCTTTGGCCTCCACATCTCTGTCTTTCCTGGTTTCCTCTTACTTCCACAGCCTCCCTCTCTATAGTTTCTTCCCACATTTTTCTTTCTTCATCTGTCTCGTGAATGTGGATGACTCCAGCGCTCATTCCTTGGTGCCTTTCATGTCTCTCCCCAGTCACTCTTCCTGGGCCTTCTTACCACGTCTATGGCTTAAGAGATGCCTGATGCACTAAAATTCCCAAAACCTCCACCTAGGAGCTAGATCCCTATCTTCAAATACCTACTGGGAGTCTGGGTTTTTCAAAGACTAGATCTATGGGTTTTTCAAAGGCTCTACGTTGAAAGCTTACCATCTCTCAGAAAATGTGAGTTCCCCATTCCAGTTGTCCAAACTTGAGCTTCCTCACCCTCATCCTCCACACCCAACCAGCTCTGCCTGCATTCTCTCCAGATCTTCCCACCCTCCTCCTTGCAGCCAGCGTGACCTTTCTAACAGAAAAATTTGATCATGTCTGCCCCTTGTTCAAACATTTACTGGCTTCCCTCCATTTCTAGGATAAAGTCCAAACTCAGTAGGCCACAATTTAAGACCCTGTATAATTTTCTCTCTTCTGCTTCCCAGTTTCATGTCTGCTCCAGTGTGCTCTATGTTCACAATGTTATTACAACTAAACAATAACAACCATTTATTGAGTGTTTGTTGTATGCTAGACATTTGTAAGCAAGTTATATCTATCACCTCCTTTAACCCTTAAACCAACTTATGCGTTAGGTGCTCTAATTCTCCCCATTTGATGGATTGTTAGCCAAGTCCTAGAGAAGCTGAGTGGCTTGTCCAAAATACACAGCCTGCATGGAGGGAGCCAAGGTTTTAATGTAGGCAGTCACTGTGTCAAACAATTCAAACCAAACAACATACTGCTCCCTGCATGCCTTGTTTTCCAATGCTTCTGTGGTTTTGCGTTGTGTTATTCTCTCTCTCTGGAATACCTCATCTCAGATTCTGAAAAATCAATATTCTAAAGCCACATTAAGATGGCACCTCCTTTGAATATTCCATGTGCTTTAGATACACTGTCTCTGAGGGACCTATAGATGTCGGGGCTGCTGGAAATAGAAGTCTAGATCCATCATCCAATATGATGGCCACTAGCCACATGCAGCTATTAAGTACTTGACATGTGGCTAGTCCAAATTGAGATCTGCTCTAAGTGTGAAGTACACACCAGATTTCAAAGACATAGGAAAAAAAGAATGTAGAATGTCTTATTAATAATTTTATACTGATTACCTATTGAGCTGGCGATATTTTGGATATATATATATATACAATAATTATTCAAATTAATTTCATCTATTGCTTTTTACCTCTTTAATGTGGCTACTAGAAAGTCTTAAATTACATGTGCGGCTCATATTGTATTTCCCTTGCACATCTCTGTTCTAGTGTTTTTGAAGAAGGAAAGCTGAAGAATTGTGGACATGGGGGCTATAGATAAAGCCATCAAGGAGGATGAAGGTGAGATGATGGTCAGCTGAGGGCTGAACCTAGAGCTGCACACAAGTCGGTGTTAGAAACTCTGGCTGGAGCAGGTGTTGAAATGGGAGAGGAACAAAGGAAGAATGTGCCTGGAACACCAAAGAGAAACAGAGTTTCCCAGGAGGGTGTGGTCCCCACCATCACATGCAGCCTCTGGGTCAAGTGCATAAAAGCCTGAAAAGCATCCCTTTGGATGTGACCATCCAGCAGTCCTTAGTAATGTGGTGAGCACTACATCATCAGGCCATAGAAACAGAAATTAGGCACCAGAAATTGAGAGGTAAGTATGTGATGAAGAAGAGTTGAAAAAAAAAAAGAAGAGTTGAAAGGGGCAGCCCAGGTGGCTCAGCGGTTTAGCGCCGCCTTCAGCCCAGGGTGTGATCCTGGAGACCCGGGCTTGAGTCCCGCCTGCTTCTCCCTCTGCCTGTGTCTCTGCCTCTTTCTGTGTGTGTCTCTCATGAATAAATAAATAAAACCTTGAAAAAAAAAAAAGAAGAGTTGAAGGATACCACTGTAGACATCTCTTTGAGAACCTGTCTGAGGAAGGAGGGAGGGAGAGCATGATAATTGAAGGGGCTCACAGGGGGAAGGGAAGATGTTTTGTGCTGTGCCAGTTTAAGTAGAGAGACTTCAGTATGGTAAGGTTGAGAAAGGGAGAAGCTCTCCCTCAAAATGGAACAAAGTACCTGGGTAGACTGGAGGGTGGGACTGATACAGGAATGGAGGGTCCTCCGTGAAGGAGGAGCCTGCCCTGGCTAAGGAGGGGACACATGGATGCACAGGTAAGTGGAGTCTGGTGCTGCAGGGTTAGGTGGGTGAGCCAGACACAGGAAGCCTGCCTGATGGTTTTCTCTGTTAAGCTAGAAATCCAGCCATTTGCTGATTAAAAAAAAAAAAAAAAAAAAAAAAAAGGGCAGAGTACAAGGCAGCCTTGAGAAAGTTCGAGAACAAGTCAGACAGCCTCAATAGGGTTGGGGAGAGGCAGTTGAGCAGGGCTGTGTAGGTCCCCCAAGAACACCAGGACAAGTGCAGGGAAGCCCAGAGGCAGACTGGCTTAAGGCCAAGGGTAGGATGAGGCAGGAGAGGACAGGAACAGATGAGGCATTGGGGTGGAGAGTGAGAACAGGACAGCTGACAGGCTTGAGGAGGGTTGGGAGGTGCAGGGGCTGGAGCACATACAGAGAGTGCACATTTCCAAGTAGGAGCTCAAAACCATTTACTAAAAATAATGAATGAGTGAATAAACCCCTCATGACCTCCTGTGTCAAAGTTGCCAACTGGCAGCCCATGGGCCAGTTCAACCAGAACACATGTTTTGTTTGGGTAACTTGGTTTTGACAACCAGAAGTTTCAGCCTCTCTTGAAAAATCAGAAGCTCGGACAACACCGGCCTGCATTCCACCCAGTGTGGCAGCAGTCAACTGGAGCAGTGGCAAAGATGCCTTTGCACAGGCTGGTACTCCGCACTTAGCCACAGTTCCCTCTGCTCTGAGTTGACTCTCTGGCCCCCACAGCATGTAAGTTTGCAACTCCTCTGTTTCTGGCTCATATCGACAGCTGGTTTTCCAGGCCTCTAATGGCCTAGCCCCTCCTCTCCATGGTCAGTGAACATGGCCCAGCCCATTCAAGTCCCAATAGGTACGAGGCCAGCCCTGAGCACAACACTCTGGAGGCTGTAGAACGGAACAGAGTAGAACAGTCCACTTCCCTGATCCTGGCTGCAGTAAATGGGGCCCAAGGTCACACTCGTTTTTCTGACAAAATCTTCCCCCTGATGACTGAGCTTCCTGTAACTGAAAAAGCCCCTGGTTCTTGTCACAGGCCCAACAACTGAAAGTAATAACACAATGTTCTATATGAGCTTATACCTCCCTGAGTTCTTTTATAAGTAGTGTTATTCCCCTTCCATCCTCACAACAAATCTGCCAGCAAATGTTTCTGTTCCTATTCCACAGATTGGGAAACTGAGGCCCCGAGACTACTAAAATCCTGAAAGTTAGGGCCTTACCTCAGTTGGGGGAGAATTAACAAGCCAGAGTGTTGTGAATCCAGCCTTAGCTAAACTAAGGGACAGAGTGTAAAGAGACTAAGGGTCAAGACTGTGATGTTAGATTGGAGTGGATTTAATCTTAACTTAAAATGTCATCTTGGACAAATAACTTTGTCTCATAGGGGCTCAGTTTTCCCATCTCTGAAATAGGATAATAATAGAACCTCCCTCATAGACGGAACGCAACCCTTTGCTGTAAGGATTTGAGAAGATACTATACAGGAGGTACTACCTCCTACCTCCATGGTTCCAAGGTTTAACGGCCCTCATGAGGCTGGAATGTCTTGTCATAAATGAATGACTTAGCCCTGGATTAAGGCTGGACACCATCCAGTTGCCATCCTTACAGCTCAGGAGTCTAAACAGTAGGGCAGGTAATGGGGAAAGGGAAGAAGGCAGGAAGCAGGGAGGGGGAGCAGTCGAGAGTGCTTATCATGACAAGAGACCACCACATATGTCCCATACGTATACTGAGTATCTGCCAGCTTGTTGTGGCTGTTCCATTTATCAACAAGGAAGCTAAAGTCCTGAACAGTTATGATACCTGTAAAAAAGTCACACCTCTAGAAGATAGCAGAGCCAGGATTCAACCAACTCCACAGTCCATAAAGGTCCAATTCAACATGCTAAATAACTGAGAAGACAGGGGTGGCCTCAGTGGCTCAGACGGTTGAGTGTCCAACTCTTAGTTTCAGCTCAGGTCATGACCTCCATGTTGCCAATCCCTACAGACCCTTGCCAGTAGTCACTTTCTCTGGCCTGTCTGCAGCCTCCCACTGCTGACCACTCCCTCCTGGCGGACCCACCCTTCTATCACAGGTCTCTCCACTCTTCTCGTCTCACTTTTCTGGCCACTCCTCCTCAGGCTTCTTTGTGTGCTCCTCTTCAGGGTTCTGTCCTCAGCTTTTTTTTTTTTTTTCCTGTCTCTATACACTCTCACTGGACAGTTTTATAACCACCATCCATAGTCTGATGAGCTCTCAACTCCTTACTTCCAGCCCAAGTCCCTTTCTTGAGCTCCAAACCTCTGTATTCAATCTCCTAAATGTCTCCACTGGAACTCACCTGATCACAACCAAACTGACCTCACTTCTCATTCTGCAGAGGGCCCGGGCTCCAGCACCTTCCTCTCATATGCTGCTTGCAAAGCCTCAGTTCTTCCACAGCTCCTTCAAATGTGAGCTTTCTTCTCTATCCCTGGACCAGTCATCGCCATCTCTCTATCCTAGGTCAACAGCCTCCTAACTGCTTCCCACCAGTTCTGCTGAGGCCCACACTGCACCCCAAACCGCCTTCTAAAATCTAAATCTGAACACATCACTCCCCAGCTTGAAAACCTTTAGCGTCTCCTCATTGCCCTCAGTATTAATTCTCAAAGCATGACGCTCAATGACACTTCTCTCTAATCTCTGTACTCTTAGTTTCCCTTCTCACCACTTCCAGCCATGCTCCCTGACACCTGTGCCCCATTCCATGGTTTTGTTCTGCCCCCCACATAGTATGATCTCATTCTCTCCCAAAAAGACAGCCAGAAAGAGCTCTCTTCTTACTTTCCTGTGTTTCCCCATCAGGACTCCAGGTCCAAGGCTGAAGAATGGATAATGTGACTCAAGGGTCAGTGGTGGGGAGGGGGTCATGGATTGCTTTCACTGAACCCCACCCTCCTGGGGCCCAGGGGTTCCTGACCTTTCCTCAGAGCCCGCCCCATCTGTGTCACCTACCACTCACCATCATGACATACGTGCTCATGAACTCAGCCAAGAACTCTCGCACCATATCCTTCTGCAATATTGCTTGCATCCTTGTTGTTATGGGCGATGAGACCATCTTGGAGCCTCGAGTGGACCTGGAACAGCAGCCCAAGCCCCGTGGGAAGGAAAGAGAGTCAAGTGCATTCGCTGCCCATCGCCCTTTAACTCATGGCTGTTAATGGGTAACCCAGAGGTTACCCAAACACACCTCCTCTTGCCCAGGGCAGCTGGTATAGCTGGGATCAGAGACAACTGAGAACCACAGGGGTGTGGAGCGGGACTGGTGCTAGATGGCTAGGCTAAGTCCCTCCTTTCCGGAGGAGACTGGACCAGTGGGAAGGGTACACTAATGAGGCCATTTTGCAGAGGGGGCAGTGGGGAGCTGGCAAGTGCCATCTGAGTGCCAGTGAGTCTCAGAAGAGAAGCAGATGGGAGAGGGCAAGAAGACAAGGGGAGCTCAGCTGTCCCTCTGTCCATCTGCCTGCCTGCCTATCTGCAGGATCCAGGCTTTGGGAACACAGGCCAGGCATCAAGCAGGACCTGTTAAAAGTGAGGCACTCTGCAAACAACACAGGGTGTGGCAAAGTCTGCTCAGGGCTCTATAAACACGGAGGCCTGACACTTGCATCAGGTTCTGCCAGAGATGAAGGAATCTGCAAAGTGCATGGGGCTCTGTAGCCAGGTTGACACAAACAGACTTCGGTGCGTGAACAAATGAATGAATGAACAAATGAGAGAGAGGGTGGAGGAAAGGAAGGACTGGATCTTCCACTCTGTTGTATGCTCAGTG